CTAGGTAGTATACAAAATCAACAAACATTCTTGTACGGTAACGTTTGAATTTGAGTAGGTAGAGACAGAAACAGAAACAATAAATATACAAATATGTGTTTTGGTAGGTGCTGTCTCTTCTTTGGGACTCCTGGTATGGCACTGTAGGATCAGCACTGCACTGTGAACCACAAGATCAGCAGTTTAAACCTACCAGCTGCTTCTTGGAAACTCTATTCTGGGTCACCATGAACTGGAACCGGCTCAATGGCACTTAACAGCAACAATATCTCTTCCTTGAGAAGAAGAAATAAAAGTAGAAAAGCAGAATGGGGTGAGGAGTGCTGTGGGAGGGAGGGAGAGTACAATTTTAAATAGGGCTGCAATTAGAAGGTGATACTTAAGCAAAGATTTGAAGGAGGTGAAGCTGTTGGCTCTGGTGACATCTGAGGGGAGGGTATTGTAGACCAAGTACACAGTTAATCCAAGGGCTTTGTAGGGCATGGAAATGTCAGTGGATGCAGGAAACTGAAAAATCAGTGTGGTTTATGCAAGTGATGGGGGAGTACTAGGTTATCAAAGAGAGATCACGTAGGGGTTTTCAGCCAATTTAAGTCCTTGACTTTTTATTGTCAGTGAAGTGACAAAAGCTGACATAAACAAGAGTGGCTGAGACCAGGTTGGTAGTAAGGCATATGATGAGAAATGGTTAGTTTTTACACAAATGGTTGGAAGGGAATTGGTTAGCGTTTTAAAGGCATAGTACACAGAATTGTCTGAAAGATTCGTTGTGGGACCTGTGGACAAGAAGGAGTCAGTGATGGTGCTAAGCTTTCAGTTGTGAGCAGCTAGAAGAAGTTATCAAAACTGATATACAAAGGGCTCTGGACAGAGAAACAAATCTTGGTGGTGTGCTTGGCTGCTATCCAAAAGACTGGCTGTTTTAACACACCAACTGCTCTGTAAGAAAAATATATAGCCACCTGCTTCTGTAAAGATTATGGCCTTGTAAAACCTATGGGGCAGGCCTACTCTTTCCCATGGGATTGCTAAATGTGAAAAAAAAAAAAGTTGTTCTTTCCCCATAGTAGCAAGACCTAGTTTTAAACCAGTCCTAAACATTCAGTACATAAGGTTGGTCGGTGGTTCAAGCTCACCAGCTGCTCCTTGGAAACCCTATGCAGGGTCGTTATGGGTTGGAACCAACTTGACGGCTCTTAACAACACCAGCAAACATTCAGTAAGAAGCTTGGTGGTTCTGTGTACTAGGTATCAGGTTACTAACTTCACAGTTGGCAATTTGAATCCACCTGTCACTCCACAGGGACAAAATAGGAGGTTGGTTACTCTAGGAAATATTTACAGCCCTGGAAACCCTATATGGAGTTGCTATGAATCCAAATTGATTCAACGGCAGTAGGTTAGCATTCAATAGCATCTTGGCAGCAGTAACTAAGGTTCTGAAAGTTAGCTGGTCAGCGATTGCTTCATTCCAATGGTGGCAGGTTCACAGTTAAAATTCAACTAATCTTTAAGCTTCTAAAAGATCAACATTCTCTGAACTCCACAATTCTCAAAATGCCATATAAGAGCAACAGTGTTCTTTGTATAGAGAGACTGTATTTTATAAATACAGTTCTCCCTTACTGTATTTATAAAGCAGCAAGTTTGGACTGGTTGTCATCATATATTAAGTTGTAGCCTCTTCATTCAACATGAATATTTATTTCTTCCAGAAACTTGTAACAGTGGTTACAAGTTTCACTGTGCATCATACTCAGTAAGACTGATATCTTGACCCAATATTTGCTCTACCCTCATTCTTCCTGGTAGGAAAGAAGAGGTAGGGAGGGCTTTTTCATGACCCACAACTGTGGAAACTGAGACCAAGATTGACCTAGCAACTTTCCCAGATCACAGAGCTGATTAGTGGCACAGATGGGGTCTTTGGGTACATCAGAGCCAAACCCCAACTTTCTTCATCCCAGCTACCCAACCACGGTTCTAGGCTGCTTCTCAGTATCTTAAGAGGATTGGTAGAATTCTTCCACTTATCCAAAAAGCATACTTTGAACCTGCTTATCACTGTAAACTACAGCAAGTTTGGATGAAACTCTAGGCAGCTGCTTTGATGCTGGTGACAAGACAGCCGACTACTTTTTTGCCAACAGTGGGTCAGGCTATTGGCTCTGAAGTTTTGGAAAATACCATCTCATTTTATCAGGGAATATAGACTAACAATCGACTAACAAGGTAGAAAATCACAAAGTACTTAGAAGTAGAGGAGAACCTAGAAGAAAGTGAGGTTACTTCTCTTGGGGATAAGGCAGAAGTGGGGAACATTTTTTTCTGCCAAAATTTATCACATCATTTGTGGGCCAGGCAAAATTATCAATTTTAAATTATCCTGCTATATTTGGTCCAACATTTCATTAACTCATCCCTAATGTGATGGCTGGAACTGCAGTAGTCTTGGCAGGGTCAGACCAAATGATTTCATGGGCCTTATATGGCCCATGGGCTGATGTTCCCCACCCCTGGGATAAGGGAAAGCTTCATGGATGGAAGAGCTCTTAAACTATCCCTGGTAAGACCAAGGAGACTGGTGAAATCAACAACATGCATATAATTGTGAGAGTGAGTGATTCATTACTACCACACTGTGGATCCCTGAGATGGATATATAACCTGCCCGCCCCATCTCAGGTGGCACTGTATACACTGCACCTGGTTTCTTCTCTAGATTAGAGCATAAGAGCCAATGTGGGTTCAGTTCATTTGATCAATCCATGTCATAGCCCTGTAACTAGAAAACTAAAGTGATTCCTTACCTGGGAAAATTGGGCAAAGCTGCGGTCTGAAAACAAGGGAACATGTCCCAACAGCTCATGGCAGATGTCACTGAAAGACAGAATGCACAAAGCTTGGAGAGGAGGATGGTTTACAAGCCAAGAGACTCAGTCTTTCTATCCGAGTAAAGGGCTGGAAGAAAAGAACTAACTCATTCAAGCTTATGGACTCAATGCCAAAAATAAGTGTTGTGCAGAGCTTGGGGTCAGATAAGATAAGGTACAAGAGAAAAGAAAGAAGAGAATGAGAAAGTCACAGAGGGTCAGGACACAGAGCCTTTGGAGTGTGCCCAGTCTTTGGGGGGTGGGACAAGGACATCAGTGTTGCTCCCATACATCTGAGTGAACTTTTGGTTGAGAGCACTTTATATCCCATCTTTCCCTTTGGATTGGCATTCCTGGGCAGATATAATATACTCAGTTATTCCCAAAGGAATTAGAAAAATTGAGCTATTCTTTTCTCAGTCTGATGGGAAACAGAAATCAAGGGGAAAAAAAATCTATATTCATTTAACACTTTCTGTGCCAGGTCATTAGGAGTAGGTCTGATTTGGAACAATGAACTGTGTGGGCAAGAAAAAGTCATTGTGGACATTCTACTGACTTTTTTTTTTTTTTTACATGCTGCATATGTTCTAGCTGACTAAAAAGACAGTTAAACACAAGCGTAAAAAGTACAGTGACCAGTCTTTCTCTAACTTCAGCCATGGCACAATCTACGCAAAGAAAGATTAAAATCATCTAGGAGCTCTGGTGGAGCTGTAAATTAAGTACTAGGCTTCTAACCTCAGGGTTGGCAGTTCAAGCCCACCAGTTGCTCCTTGGGAGAAAGATGAAACTGTCTGCTCCCATAAATATTTACAACCTCGGAAACCCTATACAGACTCACTATGAATCAGAATTGACTTGATGGCACTGGGTTTGTATGTATTTTTCTTTATGTTATTTATTTATTTATTTGTGTGTGTGTGTGTGTGTGTGTGTGTGTGTATACATATATCCAAGGAACCATGGTGGTGGGATAGTTAAGAACTAGGCTGCTAACAGAAAGGTTGGTAGTTTGAGTCCAACAGCCACTCTGTGAGAAAAAGACGTGGCAATCTGCTTCTGTAAAGATACCAGTCTTGTGCTGTGGGGTCCTAGAAAGTCACTGTGAGTGGGAATTGATTGATGGTAAAGGACTTGGTTTTGTATACCAATAGCTAGGAGAAGAGGTCCTTAGAGAGCATGACCACCACTTATTCCTTTTCCCATTTCAAATTTCATAGTTTCTAATTTCTACAATCCATTCAGAATTTTATTCCCACTGCCAGGGGTTTATGAATCTTGGGTCCACAGGATTAGCTCCCCAAAACCAATCAGTCTAGTCCATTCTGACAGAGAAAATCCTCTGAGTGGGTACATTGCTGTCTTAGTACCACTGATAAACAATCTGGTCAACTATCCCTGTGTACCCGTTGATACTGAACCCAAATCTCGCTCCCAGGGAAAGGAGAAATGGTGTTCGCTGGGGGTCACTCAACAGCACGAGCAGTGCTCAGTACTCACGGTTCAGGTGTGTACATGGGCTTGGATCCATGTCTGATGTACTGTGTGCAGTGGAAGACCCGAAAGGCCAGGCCACCCAGGAAGTCCCGAGAGGAAAGCAGGCCAGCCACAGGTCGGAGGCGGAAACCAGTACAAGCTGAGAAGCACAAAGGAGAGAGAACACTCATATCCCATCTCAGTGGAGCCAGAGGGACCTGGGAAACCTTAGGTAAGGAAGTCAGACAGCCAGCTGCCTAGGTGCTTGGAATCTCTGTCCCACTCCTTACTAGCTAGGTGACTTGAGTCAAGTTACTTCATTTGTCTGGAACTAAGTTTTCTCATCTGCCAAACGAAAATAGGTACTTTTTTGGGTTATTCTATAAAAAGAGCTAATGAATCTAAAGTACTTAGCACATAGCCTACCACATAGGAAACACTCGATATGTTTAGTTTTCACTATTGTTAAGGAGAAAAAGAATAGATACTCAGGAAAGCACTGATCCCCTGCTTTCTTTTTCCAGAGTGGGGAGGGAATCACCACTATACTTGCCAGAAAGAGAAGCATGGAAGAAACACTTCTAGCCAATCTACTGATCTACCATGCCTCACACAGTCCACTCTCTGAGTGGGACCACTTGTGAGGAGGAAGTGAGTATTCCTAACTTGATGCATTCCAAACTTTTTGTCTCTCTGACTAAACCTGTCCATAGAGAAGTGCATTCTGGTCCACTCTTGACCATCAATGGACTGGCAGGTACATTTATCTAATTCTAGGAAGTCCACTTTGGCTGTACATTTATGCCATATTCTCTAAAGTGCTTCTCACCAGTAATAACCAACTTTTGATTACTATCTCTGGTTCTTTTATCTGTCTCTATCTGTCTCTCAATTGGTTCCAAATTTGTGGTGGTTGTTAAGTGCTGTTGAGTTAGTTCTAAGTCATAGCAACCTTGTACAGGGTTTCCAAAAGTGACTGTTGAGTGTGAACTGCTGACCACCTTGTGGTTAGCAATCCAGAGCTTATATCCTACAGCACCACACACACGAGGGCTCTGAAAGCCTTATCTTTCTCCCATGGAGTAGCTGGTGGACTCAAATCACCGATCTTGGGGTCCACAGTCCAGAACTTACTTTAAAGAGCCACCACACTCCATACATTACAAATTTAGAAGGAGAATAATGATGGTGATAAAAATAATAACAAAGACTAACACATATATTGTTTGTACCTGCCACATGTCAGAAACTGTTCTAACTCTTTCTACAACTCTCACAATAACTAACTCTCATAATAACTCTGGGAACCTAGGTACACATGAGGCAGCTGGTACATACAGAACTTAAGTCTCTTGTCCAAGGTATCAAGCTAGGAAGAGGCAATCTGCCTTTACAATCTGTTCTCAATTATTGTAATTTCCACAACTGCCAGCATTATTGCTTAGTTTGTCTTATTTGTAGCTAAAACAATGCTGATAACTAGCCACAAAGCGTCTTTAGGCCTCCCTCATTCCTCCTTCTACATTCTCTGTTCCTTCAGGCTGAAGCTCACTCAGCTTGGAAGTTCTCTCCCCTCTTTATCTAAGAAGTAAAGGCCCATGAAACCATTTGGTCTGACCCTGCCAGGGGAACTGTCATTCCAGCCATCACATCATTGGTGGTGTGCCATGGAGTTGTTTCTGACTCATGGTGACCCTGCATAGAGTTTCTGAGGCTGTAAATCTTTATGGGAGCAGAAAGTCTCATCTCTCTCCCATGAAATGGCTGGTAATTTCAAACTGCTGACCTTGAGGTTAGCAGCCCGACTTGTAACCACTACACTACCAGAGTTCCTTAGGCATCACATTAGGGGTGAGTTCATTAAATGTTTGGCCACATATAGCAGGCTAATTGCTGAGTTGATCATTTTGTATGGCCTATCAATGATGCTATAAATTTTGGCAGAAAAAAAGGTTCCCTAGCTCTGCAATGGAAAAACACTACAAAGTCATCTAGTCCCACCCAGTTTATCACTTTCCTCCCTGCCACATAGTTTTCCTGACTCTTTGCCCCAGAGCAGATGACACCATCTCTGCACAGCTCTGATGCACAGAAAATGCTTTATGTCCTGGTATGATGCTGTAAGATCAGCACTGGACTGTGAACCACAAGGTTAGTGGTTCAAACACACCAGCTGCTTCTTGGAAACCCTATGCAGGATCACTATGAGTTGGCTCCGACACAACAACACACAACAACAACATCATAAACCATTAGTGTCTTGACTCCCCCCAACCCGATCTACCTGGCATATTGCTTGTGTTCAATACAGGTTGCTGTCGAGTTGATTTCAATTCATAGAAACCCCATGTGACAGAGAACTGTTGGGTTTTCTAGACTATGGCTCTGTAGGATAAGCCCTTAAACCATTGGGTTTTCTAGACTATGGCTCTGTAGGATAAGCCCTTAATCTCAGAGCTGTTTGAACCACAAGGTCAGCAGCTCAAGCTCACATGCTGCTCCTCAGAAACCCTATACAGGATCACAATGGGTTGGAATTGACTCGGCAGCATTTAGCAACAACAACAACAACAGTCTTTATAGGAATTCGGTTAGTAGCTAAGCACTTACAACAATCAGCTAACACGTAAGTGCTTGGCTATTAACCAAATGGTTGGCAGTTCAAATTTATACATCATCTCCATGAAAGAGACACTTGGTGATCTGTTCCCATAAAGATTGGTGGTGGTGGTGGTAAGTGCCATTGAGTCAGTTCCAATCCACAGAGATCATGTATAGGGTTTCCTAGGAGCAGCTGGTGAACTTGAACAGCTGACTTTGTGGATTAAACTGACTTTGAAGTCCAGTGCATTAATCTAGAGCACCACACCAAGACTCCGTTAGTTATTATTTCCCCAGAATTATGGCACTGTGGGTTAATGTGCCAGACTGCAAAGTCGGCAGTTCAAGCTCACCAGCTGCTCCTCAGAAACCCTATACAGGGTCACTATGGGTTGGAACTGACTCGATGACACTTAACAACAACAAATCAGAAAGAAAAACACCTGCCTCAACTCGAAATGATGTCCATGGTGAAACATCCAGATAAGCCTATTGGTCCACTCAGATATCAATCTAGCCCAACTTTACAGAGCACCTACAGTCTCTGCAGCACTATGGTGGCTGCTTTCTTACTGCATCCTCACAATTTCCTTAATAGAAAGTTTAGAGGGCTATCACAATCTCCATTCTACAGATGACAAACCAAGGTAGGTTCACCTAGCTAGAGAGGGTCAAGGGCAAAATTCATACCATACGCATGGACTCAGAACTTAGGGCAATTGGCATGGCCCCAAATGCACATACTATTGCCCTATCACAACCCAGCAGGGGTTGCAGGGAGGACTCTGATTGGACATCCTGGATCTTGACTATGAAAGAAAATGTTTTTCATGGGTATGTATACCCGAAAACCCATGCCTGGTGCCTCCTCAGGGAAGAGTGTGGGTTTTTGATGGAAGCTGGACGGGAGAGGGGAGCCTAGCAGTGAATTCAGGAGAACCAACCTGCATGCATTGCTACAACACTTTCACTCATTGTTACTTTCCTGTTTTTATTTTTCCTCCCCCCTCTTCCTTCCTCTCTCCCAGCCCTCTCCCATCACTTCCTTGCAGGGCCTTTGGCCCTGACGTGGACTTACTCTGTAGAAATTGAGAAACCTCTTCCAGCTGGGGGATGTTATCTTCACGGAAGCCACAGTACTTTTCCAGAAGTGGGAAAATGTGATTGTGCTCATAGCAAGCATGGGTTTTGTATAAGGACTTCAGGGTCCTAAACACTGTCCCCCACGTTTTCTTTTCTTCCTCTGTGTATTCCACTCGAGGGATGGGCTGCCCACTAGAAAACAGACAAAAGACATGTGTGTCCAGTCAGGTAGGCTCTGAGAGGAGGAAGGAAGGGAGACGGGACTCAGCGTGTCTGAGAGTTATCAGCAGACTCTGTTGTTGTTGGAGGCCATTGAGTCAATTCTGACGCAGAGAACCCACATGACAGCATAGAACTGTCACACCAGGTTCTTTACAGGGACAAATCACCTTGTCTTTTTTCCATGGAGCCACTGTTGGTGTTAAGTACTGTTAGCTCAGTTCCAACTCAAAGCAACCCTGGATAGGGTGTCCTAGGAGTAGCTGATGGGTTTGAACCATTGACTTCATGGTTAGAAGTCCAGTGCTTATCCTACAGTGCCACACCAGGAGTCCACTAGGTAGATTCAAACTGCTAACCAGAATGTTTACTTGTTGCGCCACAAGACTCCATCCACTGTAGCTATGTCAGTTCTGATACACTGTAACCCTATAGGACAGAGCGGAACTGCTCCATAGGGTTTCCTAGGCTATACATCTTCACTGAATCAGACTGCTTCATCTTTCTCCCATGGAGCAGCTGTTAGGTTTGAACCACCAACCTTTCAGTTAGCAAGCCAGACTATCATGGATTGAAAACATTATTGCAAAGGGTAAAACTCCTCTTCTTGAGATCAGAAATACTCATGTCTCAATAGTCCACATGAAAGACTGAGTTGGCTCAGCAATGTACAAATTTGTATCTCAGCAGCTATCACTTAGCCTTTCTCCTCTCCTACCTCTCTAGTCCAGAGTGGACATTCACTTACCTTCTGGAGCCAGGCAGGAAACAGACGTGTAAAGAAGTAATTGGAATTCAATGGTAAGGATGGGGCTGATATGAATCGAACAATGAATTCTCTTTCTAAATAAAGGTGTCCAAGTTCAATAAGAAGTCTAGTGTTGCAATGTGGGTTAATGCAATGGACTGCAAAGACGGTTTGAACCACAAGATTGGCGGCTCAAACTCACCAACAGCTTTTCGGAAACCAGCCGCTCCGCGGGAGAAAGATGAGGCTTTCTACTCCTGTAAAGATTTACACCCTCGGAAACCCTGTACAGGGTCGCTATGGGTCGGAACCGACTCGACGGCACTTAACAACAACAACAACAACATGCAGGGTTGTTATGGGTCGTAATTGACTTGATGGCATTTAATAACAACAAAGTTCAATAAAAGTGACATAGTGTTTTTTGTTTTGTTTTGTTATTAAATATGGAATGCTTCATGAATTTGCGTGTCATCCTTGCGCAGGGGCCATGCTAATCTTCTCTGTATCATTCCAATTTTAGTATATGTGCTGGCGAAGTGAGCACTGTTTTATTCCATGTGTTTTATACAATGTCAAGTAAAGTAATTACATCTGTGGGCTAAACTAGATTCAATACATGGGCCATGAGTCTGAGACCTCTGGTTTAGTGAGCCATTCACTTCTTGAATTTGATATTTCTGTTTCCGGGATATTATCAACGTATATCTATGCATAGTAGTTACAAAATATGTTTCTAGCATCTTCTGCTCTGACATACAGAATTGGAGGGAGTTTGATAAGGTTTCTATGCTGGGACCTATCCATAGGTCCAGAGAGGAGAGGAAGGCCAGGCATCTGGATTCCAATAAACTCCCCCACATGATTGTGATGCATGCTGTAATTTGAGAGTCTTTTGTTTGTAAGACCCTTCTCAAAACCACCTAAGAATCATCTGGGTTCTGAACAGTGAAAACAAAAAGAAAATCAAAACCTAATTTCAAAGACCAGGGACTATTCCCTGGCCTCCAGGGCTGTTTCTGTAACAGGGTACATAGTGTCTGGGACAAGACAGGGCTGTTTACTCTGAAATGATGGATCATCCAAAAGACATCCTTCCTGCCTTTTCAGAGTTGTAGCTTATTCAATGACATTAAAGCAAAGCTACTGTTATTTTATACAGAAAGCTGGGAGGGGACTCAGGAGGAAAAGACAGATTTTTTTGCTTAAGAAGCCAACGCAAGTCAACCCAGAGATTGCTGTGGTAAAGAAAAGTGATTGTGAAAAAAACACAAAAACACGAACACTCTCTGTACAAAAGAAGGCAGTATTATTTCAGGGCAAAGCATTGATGGGAAAGATGGCAGGCTTTGGAGACAGACATAGATGGATTCAATACCTAGCTGTCCATTTTTAAGCTGTGTGGTCTCAGGCAATTTAATAACCTCTCTGGGCCTCAAATTATGCAGCTGTAACATGTAGCTAATAAAAAAGCAACAACTTACAGGATGGGAGTCCTGGTATAAGATTGTAGGATAAGCACTGGACTGCAAAGTCAATTTGAACTGCTAAGTAGTGGCTTAAACATACCAGCTGCTCCTCAGAAACCCTATACAAGGTTGCTATCAGTTGGAAGTGACTCGACAGCACTTAACAACAGTAACAATTTACAGAATGGGAGTCCTGGTGTGGTGCTATAGGCTTAGCACTGGACTGCTATCCATATATCAGTTAAATTAAGTAACATCATAACTTCCTCTAGGATATAGCCTAAAGATAGTAGGGTGGACCCTAATCTTCATACCTCCTGAGTGGTGTTTTATAAAAGGGAAACACACACAGGGAGGAAGACAGCATGAGAGATAAGTAGCAAGACATGTCTATAGAAGCTGAAAGAGCTGAGAAAGGATCTTCCCCTAGAACCCACATACAGAAAGCATAGCCCTGCTGATACACCAAATGTAGACACCCAGCCTCCAGAACTAATGAGTAAATAAATTGCTGTCTTTAAAGTCACACACTCTATGTATTTTGTTACAAAGCCTTAGGCAACAGGGATTCTCCGTTCCTTTGGTGGTGGTGGTCATGAAGGTGGTTGTGTGCCACTGACTCAGTTCTAATTTATGGTGACCCAGAATAGGGTTTCCAAGGCTTTAAATCTTTATGGGAACAAGAAACCTCATTTTTCTTCTATAGGGCGACAGGTAGATTTGAACTACTGACCTTGCAGTTAGCAGCCCAGCTCGTAATCCACTACACCATTGTTGTTGTGTTGTTAAGTGCCACCGAGTTGGTTCTGACCATAGTGACCCTATATAGACTCTTTTCTTTGGTGCTAAATTCAATCTAAGGAGCTCTGGTAGCGTAGTGGTTACAAATCGGGCTGCGAACCTTAAGGTCAGCAGTTCGAAACTACCAGCTGTTCCGTGGGAGAAAGATGAGGCTTTCTGCTGCTGTAAAGATTTCCAGCCTCGGAAACCCTGTACAGGGTCGATATGAGTCGGAATTGACTCCACTGCACATAACCACCACCACTAAATTCAATCTGGTAAGTACTCAGATGCCAGGCATTGTACCATATCCTAGTGAAAGCGATGAAGATATGAATACAGACCTCAAGGAGTTTACAGTCTTCAATGAGGGAAACAGACAAGCAGACAGAGAATTTTAACCCCTGAACAATAAATGAGTTGAGTGCTCTGGGGGCACACAGGGAAAAGGAAGAGAATAAAAAAAGACTTCAAGGAAATGTTGACATTTGTTGAGCTGAGGCTTAATGGATAGGTAGAAGTTTGGGAGGCAAAAGGGAAAGGAAAAACTTCCAGGTAGAGAAAGGGGCATATCTAAATGTTCCCTAAGTAGGATGAGTACACTGCCCCTCCTTGATTACATGGGAAGGATGATCTTGCAACTCTGGGGGAGTCTACAGACACTCAGACAAGTGGCTGAGAATGACTTTGGAGTCGGACCAACCTGGGTCCAAAATCTGATGATGCCACTTAGTTATTAGTTTCATGAACATGGCCAATTGTTGTTGTTATTGTTGTTAGGTGCTGTCCAGTTGGTTCAGACTCATCACCACCCTCATGAACAACAGAATGACACACTGCCCTCTCAGTTGTTGTTATGTTTGAGTCCATTGCGGCTGCCACTGTATCAATCCATCTTGTCAGCTTTTTCACTGACCCTTCACTTTGTCAAGCATAATGTCCTCCTCCAGTGACTGGTTCCTCCTGGTAACATATCCCAAGTATGAGAGAACCACGTCTCACTATCCTGGCTTTTAAGGAGTATTCTGGTGTACTTCATCCAATACAGATTTGTTTGTTTGTTTTCCTGGCAGTCCATGATACTTTTAATTTTCTTCTCCAACACTATAACTCAAATGTATCAATTCTTTTATAGTCTTCCTTATTCAGTGTCCAAGTTTAACATGCATATGAGGCTATTTGGCTTGGGTCAGGCATACCTTAGTCCACAAATGGACATTTTTGCACTTCAACATTTTATAGAGGTTTTGAGCAGTAAATTTACCCAATGCAGTACATCATTTGATTTCTTGACTGCTATCTCCATGAGTGTTGATTGTGGATTCACACAAGATGAAGTCTTTGACAACTTCAATCTTTTCTCCATTGATCCTGATGTTATTTATTAGTACAATTGTGAGGATTTGTGTTTTCTTTACATTGAGGTACAATCCATACTGAAGGCTGTAGTCTTTGATCTTCATCAGTAATCATTTCAAGTTCTTTTCCAGCAAGAAATTTTTCAATGTTTCCAGCAAGAAATATTGTTTCATTTGTATATCACGGCTTACAGTGACTCTTTCTCCAGTCCTGACGCCATGTTTTTTTTTTCATATAATCCAGTTTCTCAGATTATTTGCTCAGTATACAGATTTAATAAGTATGGTGAAAGGGTACAACCCTAGCAAACACTTTTCCTGATTTCAAACCAGGAAGTATCCCCTTGTTCTGTTCGAATGACTGCCTCTTGGCCTATATGCAGGTTTCTCATAAGCACAATTAAGTGTTCTGGAATACCCATTCTTTGCAATATTATCCATAATTTGTTACAATCCACAGAGATGAGTGCCTTTGAATAGGTAATAAAGTACACGTAAACATCATTCCAGAATTCTCTGCTTTCTGCCAATTCATCTAACATCAGCAATAATATCTCAAATTCCACATCCTCTTCAGAATCTGACTTCAATTTCTGGCAATTCCCTGTAGATGTATTG